CGGTGCTGCTGGTGGCTTGTTTCCTTTAGTAGAAGATGTTTGATGCAACTTTGGTGCAGATGGGGCAGCCCCGTTACCAGGCTGAAATACTGCATTGTATTGCTAGCATTTGGGAGTGATTCTGAAATAAGACTCACAGTTGCTGCACCTTTGACAGCTTGAGTAGCTGGCGTTGCAGTATTCGGATGTGGCTGCACAGCCGCTGCTGGTTTAGCGGCTACCGCTGCCTAAACTGACAAGCTCTTCCAATCTGCCCGAGAAAGTCCTCAAACGCGCACTCACCGTGGGTGTGACCTGTTTGTTCGTTGGAGCTGCGGTGATGAGAACAGCTTTTGCAGCTGGCGGAACAGAGCCAATTGGCTTAGCGCCGGCAGATGCCTGAGTGGCGGCATTCTGTTTACCGGCAGCTGATTCTGGTGGTATAGGGCCCTTTGGGTTCAAATTACCAATGTGCATAGCACACCTCTCAGTGTGGCGGCATCTAATAAAATGAACAGGAATCGCTTGTATTCCTCTGGGCTAACATTTGCTTCACTATCACTTTTGATTCCTCGTTATCAAGCACTGTGGCTGTGTTTATACTCTGATGGTGAGTCAAGCACGGAGAATCAGGGAACTGCGGAACTGGATTCAGCTAGAACCGTGAATATGAACTGCTCAGCATTTCTCTCGGCTCGTTTTTAATACGTGCTTTCGACTACTTCGAAAACGCCATCCAGGATCGCCAGGTTGGGGAGTCAGTGCACAGATTCGTTGACACATTTTTTCGTTACTTTTATTCAGTGGGTGTCAAGAAGACCTGGGAAGGAGGGACACTTCAACCACGTCGTTTTCTGGCTCAACCCAGCTAACCATCCCCCATTGGAGCTTTTCAGGCTGCGTTTGCTCCCTGACTCCTATGCCTAGAGGATACTAGGTTGCTAGAAAAGTTGACATCCGTGGGCGTAATCGGCGATAGTACTTACTTTTTATTCGAAGGCGGAGCCAAGTCCATACTGTAGGGAAAAAGGGCCTTCTAGCTCTGGATGCGTATCCCCGAATCGGCTCTCCTTCGTTCTTACGTTTCTGCTTCTGTTCGCTCAAGATCCTCACAGGCAGGTATACCTCCTCTGCCTGCATATATGGACTGTATATCGGTGAGACTGATCAGTGGATCATTAAGTCCTTTTCGAGGACAAACTGTGTACTCACCTCTGTGGATCCTGATCGCTGCCATGTCTGGGCGTAGGGGCCCTCAGCTATACTTTCTCACCTCAGGTCAAAAGTGCATGGGAACGAACTGGAGGCTAGTGACACCCAGGTACCGTTATCCATACCGCGCTCTGGCCCGCATTGCAAGAGCTAACCTGCTCAACAAACTACTCGGTCTGAGCCCTTCTCCCACGCGCTGTTTAGGCGACAAGCGAGGGCTCATTTGCACTTGCCACAAGCTGCACTACATCAAGTCCCGTTTTCAGGTTTCACTCTGGTTAAGCCTGTGAACTCTTGCTCTTAGCCTAGAGTACGGCTCATCCGAGCTACAGAATGATATAAACCCTTGTCAACACTTGTGAGCCTCATGAAATAGCATCCGCTGGTCCCTGAGTAGCAAAGTGCAAACATGAGCACCGCCGCCGATTTTTATCTTCCGACAAAGTCTCTCACTTCTGCCTGCCCCCTACAGCCCTTAATGCGCTTGTGCTAGCGGGACTTGACAGCTGACGCCAAGTCTCCGCCAGTAGCCGCAAATGGAATAAAGCATGATTCACCCGGCCTCACAAACGACCCCCCAGCCCCATTTCGTGCCCACTTCCGCGGCGGCAGAATTATTCACGTGCAGCTGCTGGACCTACCTTCGCCCCACAAGGAATTGCTTCACCTAGCCATCAAAAGGCTACAAGTACTAGTTTGCTCATACCTGAGGCCTTGACGAAGCATTTAAAGTGACTGGAATTTTCATTCCGAGCTGCGTCTTATTTCAGTGCTATAAGCGAGCAGTGATCGAGGGCGCGGCCACAGTCGTATTTGCTAGGTGCAGCTTATTTTTCACTGCCAATTTTTCCTGATATTCTCGCTCTGGAAGTCAAATCCACCATTTCTGAGCATGGTCGCACCTGTTTCCTCCAACCCTCCCGGGCCGCTTTCATGGGTCATCACCCAGAGTCGCGGCGTCAAGGTGCTCCCAGAGTTTTGAAAACAGGCTGGAGCCTCACGAATAGTGCGATAAGAGCATGTAAAGGAAAGTTTCGCCATTGAAAAGATGCAGTATCGCCTCTTGCAGAAGTTGAAGTTAATTCATTACTTTTTCCAATCTAGCATAGAGAAGCACCTCATCCATCTGACTGCGACAAAGTAATGTAGACCCGAACGCTCGTACATGGCAAGACAGCCAACAAACGCTTCATTTGGTTTATTTCAACAATATAATATAAAATTACGGCGCAGTTCGGCGACGAGGGCATTTTGTACCATCATCCCTTCCTTAGTTCCGGTTTACAAGTCTCACTCTGGCGAAACCTGTAAATTCTTTTGAAGCTGGAGCAAGGTCGTCAAGCCATCACGTTAAACCTGCCCACTCGAGGAGATGCTGTAGGTCGACACGTCGATGGAAGTGGCAATAACCGTTGCACCAAGAATGTCCCCCGTCGCCGGAACTGCCTTCCCGAAATTACTTATATAAGCTTGCGCTGCGGAGAAAATCCGAATGTCCGTCTCAGAACATCATCATGGGCATCGAGAAAAACATATACATACACAACAGTAAACAATAACAACCGACAGCTGATCAGTCCTTGGACCACAAAAGAAGGATCAGCTTTTTTCAAGAGTGCCTTTCGATCAATTGCCATTTCGGGGCGATAATCTGAAAGGGAACAAAGCCAGTAATGCCAACTAAAAGACAATCTGAACCTTCACCTCCGTAGATCCTGCACGTTGCCGTGGGTAGGGAAAATGAGCTTGCAACTACAGTAGCCGCCCACTCTCCTGCAAGGGAACGGCAGAACCGTAGTGATCCTCGGGTGCCGCACAGCCATCACACGTCCACAACCATAGCCAAACGCGCACATGTCAGCACACTCTCACTTCTGCTTGTGCTCTGGGTGAGTGTTCGCCTGCCGGATCTTGACATCGACACAAGTGTTGCACCGTCGGGATAGCGTGGACTGAGTATAGAGACTGCATTCGGATTCCTCTCGAGCCCCTGTTTCCGTGGGTATGGAACGCAGAAAGTGGCACGCTACTGCAGCTGCGGGCCCATTTTTCTCATCGACAAGGTCCAGGATCCACGTAGGTGAGTTTATGTATAGTTTGTATTGATAAACAGAGCTGTGAAAAATCAAATCTTCGTACCCACGCTTGTTGACCGTCTCGTCCGGAATGGATTTGTCAGCGACCGTCGACGCTCCTTCTTCGTTATGGTTGTTTGAACTTCCCTGAAAATTGTATCTACAGAACACTGCACCGTGAACACTCGTATTCACAACAATTCACATGGCCAAACTTTTTTGCGCTTCAGCTTGATCACTTGCGTTAGTTACCGTTAGTTTTACCTTATTCGCACTAGGTTACCGTTTACCAGTTCTCAGCGCTCATAACCTTGGGGTGGAGGGGCGGGGGGGGGGGGGCCACCTAACAACTTTTCCAACTTTTCCAAAGTGTGTCCTCATCTATGTTCTTTTTTTCCGTCTTTCCACAATCTCACCCTGCAAATCCTGTAAACTCCTACCAAGTACCTTGTTAGCTCCTGTCAAGCTTGGCGATTCGGTTGATAGGAAGCAGTAAAATGCCATTCTCAGTTTTTATTTCCAAACCTTGACCGGTCAACTTGACAAGTTTGACGGGAGTTTGCAGGCTGCTTGACAGGTGATGGCAAGGTTCGCAAGGTGTCTACAAAATTATCCGGTATTCACACGTATACACTTCACAGGTTTTGCTATGCTGACAAGCGCTTACAGGTTGTGGTATCAGGTAAATCAATCAATAAATACCTAGCCGTGACATACATCGTTAGTTGTATACAGTCGCACTATTTGAAAACACTATGTGACAAGAGAATCGTAATAAACCGCGCTGGTGGGCGTCGCGTGCGACGTCGCGCCCGCAAATGACGATGGTTCCAGTAGATGGCGACAACAGGCAATTCAGAACCGAAAATAGTCATGAATGTCTACGATGACGGGGTCTACATGAAGTCCGGTGCTCCAATCGACAGGTTAACGAGTTAAGAAAACGCCGCGCCCATCGCCGCGCGCGGCGGAGCGGCAAATTACGATCCTTTGCCCGCTCCCTGGAAACACCCAGATTTCGATTGCTGATGATCAGTAGGTTTGCACTATGTAGGAACTATGTCACGGGCACGCTGTGGCGTGAATTAATTGAATATGGCAAGGTACTGTACAGCGCTGCCACGACCACGAGCGGGGCGCCGCTGCGACTCCGCTTTCTGCCCTCTGCCGCAACTTGAATCACCCGATCACCGCTCCGTCGCGCCCAACACTAGTAGATGATGACATATACTCCTCTTCATTACGGACTGTCGGGGCGTATCGGCCAGAAGGAGTGCGCACACTGTTTGAAGCCGTTCTCAGCCTTTTCTTTGAAGCGCGTATGCGACAAAAAGTGGTAGAAAACGAGTAATACGAAGGATATAATGCTGTTATGTCATTTGATCGCTTCAACAACTGGTGCAGAAAGACTTTGGAACCGCGGAAAACGCAGCCGCACTGACCCGCCCCGACAGTCCGTAATGATGAGGAGTATACTAGCCAACCAATTTCC